CCCCGCGCGCCCTCTGATCGCCGCCCTGCCCCACAGCAGCGTGAACCGGCGGACACGCAGCGGTGCCTCCCCGCTCTACCTGGCCTGCCAGGAGGGCCACCTGCACCTGGCCCAGTTCCTGGTCAAGGACTGCGGGGCCGACGTGCACCTGCGCGCCCTGGACGGCATGAGCGCCCTGCACGCCGCCGCGGACCGCGGACACTACTCGCTCGTGGTCTGGCTGGTGAGCAGCACCGGGTGGGGGTGGGAGGGGCTCCGGAAGCTGGCCCTGCTCCTGCCTACTCCCCAGGGCCCCTCCAAGCAAGCAGGGCCTGGCTTTGGTGCGGGACTCACCCCAGATCTGTTAGCCCACCTGAGACCTGGGGACTCACAAGGATGCTGGGGATCCAGTGTGCCTGCCCATTGCTCTGAGCACCCATGGGCGCCAGGCCCAGGCTGGGTGGGAGCTGCAGCCTGGAGTTCACAACTCTGGCGGTTGTGGCTGTGAACTGGGCATCAGAGCCGCTGCAGGACCCTGGGGACGGGATCCTTCCCCTGCGCTCTCCTGCCCCTCCCCCAGGAGTCCTGGTGCATGTCCTGGGTGACCTCAGGTTGGGTGGCACCCAGGTGCCGGTCGTGCTTGGCCCTGGCCATTTGCCACTTGTTCAGTGTAACCGTAAAGGGGGGTGGGCAACCCACAGTGTCTGCCCCCAACAGCCCCCAAGCCCAGCTGGGTGCTATGGGCCAGAGGTGACTGGTGCCCTCCCAGAGGTGGGTGGCCAGCAGGACAGGACCCAGCTACAGGATGACCAGGGTCTGAGCCCAGTGCTCTGAGAAGCCGGCAGGCCCCGCTTCCTGGTGCCCCACGTCTACGTCTGCGTCTGTGCTGGAGCGGAGTTCAGGGCCCAGATGTGCCTGGCGCCAGAGGCTGCCCTCCTTCCCTCCCTCCTCCATCAGCAAAGGTCCCTTTGCTGTCTCCTAGGTGCCCACCGGGGGCATTTGGTTCACTGGATGTGTGAAACCAGCTCCTGGAGGTGTGCAGCTTAAGATTTGGGCTGGGGCAGATTTGAGGACTGGAGGCCCCCAGTAAAACCATACCTCACCCCCGACACGCTGCTTCGGAGGTGCCAGGCAGAGGGGTGAGGACAGGCTGAGTGTGAGGAGCCAGCTCTGTCCCACAGCTCCTGGGGGTGCTGCTCCTGCCCAAGGCCACCTCCCAACGCGCCATGTCCTCCGGGTGGCCACCCTCCCACCCTCACTCCATCACCCTGTCCAGCCTCACCTGGCCCCCTCCCCACCCCCGCTCCGCAGGTCACCTTTACTGACATTGGCCTGACAGCGCGGGACAATGAGGGGGCCACCGCCCTCCACTTTGCAGCACGAGGCGGCCACACACCCATCCTCGACCGGCTGCTGCTCATGGGCGCCCCCATCATGAGAGACTCCTGGGGCGGGACCCCCCTGCACGACGCCGCCGAGAACGGGCAGATGGAGGTGAGGCGGCTCGGGGGCCTTCTGCTTAACCGTCCATCGGGAGGAAGCCAGGAACTCAAAGTGACCAGGCGCACACACACACCCACACACACCCACACACACACACGTCCCCCAGGTGAGGGCGGGGGCTGAATGTGCGGATACACAGGGGATGCAAACCGGCTGGTGGCAGGCAGGGGACGCTGGCGGGCAGGTGGTGGGTTGCCTGCGCTCCACCAGACGCAGACATTTTGCCCTCCCTCCTGAGAGTCGTCTGTGTAGTTTTCTGCAGCGTACAGAGGTGTCGGCTGGAAGCCGGGACTGAGGAGCAGGCGCAGCGGGCGCCGGGCGGCACCCCTTTCACCCGGCGCGGCGTCTGGCGTCTAATTTTCCCTGACCCGCCCGTCGGGCTGTGAGCCGGAACATTTACACAGTAAAATGCACGCTCCTTACATTGTAAATTATTTTCTCTCCCGTAAGGGTTAGGGGGGAGCACTAATTACTGTAAAAGTGGGTGTGCAGGTAAAGTGCGGCGTCTGTGGGCTTCATTTCAGAATAGTGAGGAAGGTGTCAGGAAAGGTTTGCGATGAAAAGGGGGCATTGGGCCTGACACTGGGAGCAGCGGGCGCTGGACTGACTCAGGCCTGCGGTGCCTCCCGCCCCACGTCCTGCGATGCTGCTCGGTCCGGGGGTGGGTGAGGCCACGGGCTCTGAATCCAGGCCGCCCGCCTCCTGTGGACCTTGCGAGGCCTCCTGTCCTCCCCGGTGCCTCGTTGGTCTGTGTAATGAACCCCGTGGGGGCAGAGGCTGTGAGGGCCAAAGGAGTGGCGCCCGGCACAGAGGGCCTATGGGAACGCCGTGCTGCCCCAGCTCCGGGACGGCTCCCCCTGGGGTGACCATGACGGTCCCCGAAGGCCCGGCTCCCTGGGCGGCCTTGGACTCTCAAGGCACAGGCTCGAGGCCCGCGTGGCTGGAGCGGGGAGCTGGCGGGGAGGGGGCGCGAGGCCAGGGTGGACGAGCTGGCCGTTTGGGATGTGTTTTACTTGTACAGTTTCAGAACCCTACACGACGTTATTTTTCATTCGGTCCACGAATAAAGACTTATTTAAACATAACCACGGATTTACCCTTTTCCCCTCTTCCCCCAGCACCTCAGGCCCCATGTGGACCCCCTTCCCCTCCGTCCGAGCAGGTGCTTTAGGCGGCCCCCGAGGCTGGGTTTCCTGCTGGCCAGGTCTTTGTTTCCTTTTGTTTGTCCGGAAACAGCTTCATTTCGTCTTCAGTACTGAAGAACATCTTTGCTGGGCAGAGAGCTAGAGCCTGGCAGCTTTCTTTTGGTGCCTAGAAAGCCTCACTTATCGCCTCTGGCTTCCGTCACTGTCTGAAGGTCATCCTTTCTCCTGGGAGCTGGGGGCACGGTGCCGCCCTCCATGGTGCCCGGCGGGTGCCAGGGGCCCTGCCTGTGCGCATGAGTCACGCGTGCCCTCCCCGCAGTGCTGCCAGACCCTCGTCTCCCACCACGTGGACCCCTCTCTTCGGGATGAAGATGGTTACACCGCGGCGGACCTGGCCGAGTACCACGGACACCAGGACTGTGCCCAGTACCTGCGGGAGACGGCCCGACCGGTAAGGCTCGGGGTCCCCTGTGTCCTGACAGACCAGTTAGCTAGAAAGCTCCGTGTGCACCATGTCGCTTATGGGAAAAAGGTCCTGGGCCAGGGCTGAGCCAGCCCCACAAGTCATCTTGCTGGGCGCTGGGACAAGAGTTGAGCCAGTGGCCATGAGTGGGGCGGTGACCGGTCCTGTGGCAGGAGCTGTGGCAGGGGCTGTGATGGGCCATGACTGGGTCTGTGGCAGGGCCAGAGCTCTCTTTGGTTGGGACCAGGGCGAGGCTTGTGGCTGGGCGCTGGCCTGCCATCCACCTGGACCAGAGGCACCAGGCTTGTGACTCTGGATCCCCCATGACCAGGGCCCCCAGGGGTTACAGGCAGGAGCAGGACCTTGGGTTCTCAGTGACATGACCCTGATGTGGCCCAGACAGCCTTGTGCAGCTCAGGAGGCAGCTTCCTTTCCCCACCCCTGTCCTGGCATGTGACCCGACCCTCCCTCTTCCTCTTCTATAAGGGCAGGGATCTGTCCTGCCGGCCCCCTTGGTGTGGAGAATTTGGTGGCCTCAGCTGGTTGCTGGTGCAATGGACAAAGCTTCACCGTCCATCGGCTGGGGGTGCCTGGCCACCTGGGCCCCTCCCGGGCACTGTGTGGTGAATGAGGTTGGCCTGGCAGCTGAGATTAGGAGGTGGGGCGGGCGGCTGCTCGGCTGCCAGGGAGCAGGTCCCACCTGGGGTCCCTGGCCTGTCCCCAGCCACACTGCACACCCTTGGCCCGTGCACTGTCCAGGCAGGGCCTCTCACCCCGCCCTCCATCCCCCGGCTCCTGTGCATCTGTCAGCCGCTCCAGCCACTGAGTCCCACTCTCTTTGGTGGACGGGAGTCTGGGTGCTTTCCCGACACCCTGGAGTGTGGGGAACTGGCCCATCTCAGGTTTCTTGGGGGTTCTTTAGGTCCTGGATGTCTCCTTGGCGACACCACAGGATTTAAGGCCGCAAACTCCCCAAATCAGCCTGGGCTGCATGTGTAACCCCCCACCTGACCTGTAGGCCAGTGGCAAGCAGCCCGTCCACATGCCCGCCTGTGATGGCGGAGGGTGGGTGGGCTCACCTCCCTCCTTCTGGCCCACAGCCCTGTGGCCTGCATGTGGGCGGGCGGCTGGGCATTCGCACGCAGACCCTTGGCCTTCGGGGCTGGTGTGCCCGGTGAGCTTCAGGAGCTCGTCTGGGACTCGGGGTTGGGAGCAGGGCCTCTCTCCTCCCTCAGTGAGCACCGGGGCAGCAGGGGCGCCAGCCACTCGCCATTGGCTAGACCGTCCCCCAGCAGGCCACCTTCCTCACACTCGCAAGCGCAGGTTCGGCCCCGCGGGAGGGCGGCTGTCAGCTGGGGGCCGAGGCCTCGAGGCTGTGCGCCTGATGCAATATTGATGGAAATGCAATATCCAGAGGTCGCCGGTGCCGGCCTCTTCCCATGTCAGGCTCGGAGGAGGTGGTGAAAGCTACAGGTCCCAAGAGAGGCAGCCTGGGGCCTGAGGCTGGACAGGTAGAGGGGAGAGAGGTGCCCTGCGGGAGGTGCTCCTTTTGTAGCTCGTCTCAGGACAGCTCGGCCTGCGCGCACCCAGGGAAGTCCAGGCCCTGCCTTAACCTCCCCACCTTGACCTCGGCCAAGTCCTCCTGCTCCCTGGTCAGTCCTTCTGCACAGTGAGGGGTGGGGCAGCGGCTAGAGAAGCCCCCGGCACCCCGAATCCCTCCCATGGGGCTGGGCAGCAGCAGTTAGGAGCAGCAGCCCAGGGTGGCAAGCATGGCCCTCCCAGTGGGGGAGCCAGGCTCCTCACACCTCCGTGGCGTCTGCTGTCCTACTGGCCCCACCCCCTCCTCACTGCCACCAGGGCTGGAGCGGCTCTGCCCAGGAGGTGGTGCTGGCAAGTTCTGAGCATCTCTGAGTCTCAATTTTCTCATCTGTAAAATGGGATTGAGGAGCCTAGTTGCAAGGTAAAGAAGCGCCCATTGAGCACCCAGCAGGCACCAACTCTCTTCCTCCCCCAGATCCAGAAGGGCCCTGAAACCCCTTCATTTTACAGATGGGGAAACTGAGACCCACACAGGGCACGGGACTCCCCTGGGAAACCTCCGTCCCAGGGAGGGGCACCCCTGGCTGCACGGCCGGTCACTGAATCTCAGCCGTGGTGACTGGTGTCCGGCCCGGCTGCAGGTCATGATTTTCCCGGCCAGGTGGCATTACAGGCCTGTAACCCGGCTCAATGAGGCCTGTAACCGCTGTCCTCAATGTATAATGCATGGCTGCCCAGCGCCGCTCAAATCTCACCAAAAACACAGAAAAGGAGACCACAGCCCTCAGGAGAGGCGCCAGCCTTGGAGCAACTGCCCAATTTGGGGGTAACATGCCCACTGTCAGGACCCCACAGGTCAGGACCCAAAGTCTGCCGCTCGCTCCTTCTGGTCCCTGTAGATGTGGTGCGTGTCCGGGGCCTAAGTGAGGGATGCAGGGATGTGCGTGGGCCCATCAGCTAGGAAACACTACAGGAGACCCCATCTGGCTAAAACTCAGAGATCACGGTGATGCCCCAATGACAGTGGCGAAGAGGTCAGTCCCAGTGCGCCAGCCCCACCAGGTGCTCTCCTTTACTCCCAGCAACCAGAGTCCTTCCCGAACTACAGGCCAGGAACCCGGGGCCCAGGGGCACCTCCCCAGGGCTTCTCCTTGGTGCAGTGGAGTGGATTCAGCCCAGGGACCGGGTGGCCTGAGGTTCCCCAGCTGCAGGTGCTGCATGGGGGCCAAAGCTCATTCCCTTCGGTCTCAGACCAACTTCCAACTCTCCCTCCATGAAGGGCAGCTGCCACCCCAGCTGATCCCCACACTCTGCCAGGGAGGGGAGGTTCTCCCCCCTCCCCCAGAGCAGATTCCATTGGGAGAAGGGCCAAGGGCTCCCAGGAGGGCAGGCAGGCAGGCCCACAGCCCTGTCCTGGACGGGCAGAGCCGGGCATTGGGGTGGCCCTGCAGTGAGGGCCCGACTCAGCCCTCCTCTATCCCTCAGCCTGTCACTGCCAGCTTCTGTAGCTGTGCCCTGGGGTCTGGGTCTGACCAACCCTGTTTGCAGCTCCTAAGCAGGCTATGTCTGCATCATGGACACTGGAAGGAGACATGAGACTCCAGGGTCCAAGACACGGGGCAGAGGGCAAACATCATGTCTTGTTGGGTCCCCTTGCCCTCCAGTCCCAGGGTGTGACATGCACCCAGCCCCCCAGTCCCAGGGTGATGTGATAAGGGCCCAGATGACTGCTCTGCACCCAGGAAGCCGGCGTCAGAGCTGGGGACCCCGGAGCCTGGGCAGCCCCGTGTTATAGTAGCAGCGAGCCGCCTGCCCCTGTCTGGGTCCCTCCCTGCAAACACGGCCCTGAGACACGCCAGGAAAAGAGCAGCCAGGATTGGCATCCTTAGTGGGGGTGCAAGGGGCCCACCGCCTGCCTCTTCCTGCACTGTGGAGGGTTAAGGCGGGTGGTAAGGGATCCCACTTGCGGCCCCAGCCCGCCTAGCCACCTGACACCTGTGCCTTCAAATATTAATGTGACGCCTCCCACTCCTGGGGGCAGCAGCTGAGACAGCCCCCGACAGCCCAGGACACCACAGCTCCCTGTGCAAGCAGCCCAGCCCCTGCTTCCACAGGTCCTCCCTGCTGGGGGCTGGCAGACGCTCCCCAACCCGCTGTGCACTGGGGCTCCCGGTTCGTGCAAAGAACGAGGTGTGAGGTGTGAGGTGTGTGGTGGTCAAGCAGGCAGGGTTTTGGGCTATGTTCCTGCCCAGTGGCCATGGTGGGTGGAGAGTCCTGGACGGGAGTGTGATTGAGGGGCTGGGGACGATGGGTGGGGACCTATGGTTAGGGCACCCCCAGCCTGGGGTGGCCAGCTAAGGGGTGCACCTCCTTGCCGGATGCAGGACTGACCGACCTATGGATGTGCCAGGGGACACTCAGAGCAGCCAGGGCTGTGCTCCAGCAGGCCCCGCAGTGTCCCCTGCAAGGCTCGGTGTGAAGGAAAATGCAGGCCTCTCGCCTTCAAAGCAATGAAGAGTTTCAAGGCAGAGCTTCAGGGGTTACACCGGGCTGCAGTGGGGACCCGGCTCAGTGGGGCTGAGCTGGGGGGACACCTCCAGGCCAAGGCTCTGATTGCCCAACAGTCAGTGCTTGGGGCAGGAGAAGTGGCCAAGGACAGGGCTGTGTCTTGCCCCAGACATGGGGTAGGGTGTGGGGGTGAAGTTAAGGTGACTCAGCAGCCCCCAGACATGGGGCAGGGTGTGGGGGTGAAGTTAAGGTGACCCAGCAGCCCCCAGACATGGGGCAGGGTGTGGGGGTGCAGTGAGGGTGACCCAGCAGCCCCACCATGGATTCCTGGACCACAGGCTCCGGGGCCCGTCTTGGTGGTCCGTTTCTAGGAAGCTGTGGGAGGGTGACCTGGACACTGTGTGACCAGCCCTAGGCATAGTGCCACTGCCGAGGTGTGGGCACAGCCGCATGGCCCTGCTTATATGGCTGAGCGCCAAGTTCCTTGTGGTTTTTCCTGAAGCTGGGGGCCAGGCTCCTGCTGTCCTCTGAGGGAACTGTTCCAGGGGGCTGTCTCAGCAGAGGCTGGGGACAGTCTGGGAGGGTGTGTGCGCACAACTCTTGTAAAGCCAAAGAGAGGTGAGCACAAGCTGGACGCCGGGCCCTCGCCCAGCGCCTGGAGCTGCTGAGTTAAGCGGCCTCTAGAGAGAGCCCGTGAGCCGGGCCTTGAGATAGGGGCTCCCCGGTGACGGTGGAGGCAGCACTGGGGGCACAGTGAGTGGTGGAACTCAGCAAAGTGCATAGGCTTTGGGGAGCTCCGGTAACCTGGTGCGGAGGGGGTGGAGAGACACNCTGGGCAGAGAGCTAGAGCCTGGCAGCTTTCTTTTGGTGCCTAGAAAGCCTCACTTATCGCCTCTGGCTTCCGTCACTGTCTGAAGGTCATCCTTTCTCCTGGGAGCTGG